TTTTTCTTTTAATATTTTAAAGTTTAATATTAGTAATAATTTATTTTTTTAAAAAAATTTATAATAAAATATATCTAAATAGAATATAAATTTATCTTTCAAAAAACATATGAATTTATCTTGTATGTAAGATGTATTAGAATATATAAATAAATATAATTATCATTTTATAACTTAATTTTTGAGTTATCAGATTATTGAATAATTTATAATGTTAAATTTTTAAATTTTATTTTAAATGTCCATCTTTTTAATATAAAAAGACACATTAAATATTATGTATCGATCAATAATAAAATAAAAATAATATATAATTATTTATCATTAAATCATTTTAATTGATGAAATATAATATTATAAAATAAATTAATTTAATGAATTATTGAAATCATATGAAATTTACACACTTAATCTAATTAATAATATTATTAAATATAATATTTGATCCGACTAAATTTGTATTTCATAAAAATTATTAAAAAAATGATTCACTAATTTTGAAACTATAACATTAACGGATCGTGGGTTATATACATAATAAATATTTAACAAGAGGCTAAAATATTTAAATAGTATTATCATTTATGAAATGAGCAACCACATACCTACACTTTCATTCCGGGGGTGCTCTTCGCAAACACATACCCACCTCACGTTTACTATCATTCCAAGGGTGCTCTTCTCGCCGCGTTGCGTGCGTGCGTGCGTGCTTCAACACCAAACGCCACACACCAAAACGCCACCCTTTCTCTACACTCGCAACATTCTATAATTTTCCAAAGCTTTCACTCTTATGAAGCTAGGGTTTCCATTTCACTCACCCAGGCCAGGTTCCCATTCTCGCTCTAATTCTTTTCTTTCTCTTAATTCCTTTCCTTTTCTCCTTTTCTAATAATATGTTTCCGTCTTCATTCTCTTACCGCTGTGTGTTCACCTTCCATTTTTAGGGTTTTGGATATTGTGCCTTTTTATTAATTAAAAATAATTATGTACTGTTGTTGAAAATTAAGAATTCATATTCGGTTATGTGCTTCCTGGGTTCGGACTGGATTTTTCTTAATCATTAATTTCTGCTTTGTTTATTTAATTTACTTGCATTTTGTGTGCGGGATTTTTGATTTTATTTATGAGTTGGGCGTTTCAGGAATTGAGTAACCTATGTTCAGTGATCGTGATTGGAAGGTTGCAATTTGGTTTATCTGATAGTGTAACTTCGTACCAGCCGTTGAAGTGACCGGTAATCTTATTTTAGATTTTGTTATTAATATTTTTTTTTAATTCTCATAACAGGATTTAATTTATTCAATTCCAATTCCTTTATCTGTCCTCAATTTGTAAGTAATAACTGATAGGTATGGTTGATCTGTTTAAAATACTACGCAGAATCTCCACTCAACCCTCAAAAAAGAAAAAAGTTTCTAGAGATGAAATGTTTTTTATTCTAAAAAATTGAATACATTGCACTTTGTGTTTTGTGATTTACTATGAAAATAAATCTGGAAGTTGATGTTTTTTTATAACTTAGGAAGTGATAAGTGTGGCTATGCTTTATTGTTGTTTATTTAAAGCATTGGGTTTGTTCGTGAAATCTACTCTAGGCTTAGAAGAACTGTAAACTGTGCAAGTTACATTCAATTTCTTTTGGTGTGTATTCCACAGCAGCTAACAGTTTGTTCTAGCACAAGCTGGTGACTGTCAAGTTGGTCACTAAGTTGAAAAATGTTGCTGATATTTTGCTTGAAAAAATAAAGTTATAACAATAATGGGAATTGTATATGGAGTGAGTTTGTTACGCGAGGTTCATTAATAAGTTCTTAATTAGAAATAACAATTTGCTGTTTGGCCACTGGTCAGCTGTAAATTTAGATTTTGTTGTTATCGATACTTTAATGCATTCTTTCCCATATTTCTACAAGTGGCCAGCTTTGAACATTTTCTTTTTGTAGTTTATTATTTGTATTGGTAGTGACTACACTACATTTTCTTTGCCAAACACATGCTTGGAAGCCATCCAACCTGCTAATGTGTGTCATGTATTCATTAGATGTTGTAGTAACCAAAATAACCCTGGTCAATTGATGATTTATCGTAGAACTTGGTTTTCACTTTTAAGTAATTGCTATATTGTTGGTGACAAAGTATTGCTTTAACTTGGTTGTTGTCTCGGGTGTATCGGCAAATCTGCCCACACGTGTACATGTTAATTCATAAATAAGAACTGAGTTGAGGTCTCTTTATTCTGGACAAAGAAAGACATTAATGCTGGTGTAGGCATGTGATTGGTCAAAAGGATTGGATTTATGTGGTTTGCTATGTGCATGATAATAAGAATTAACAGTTTGCTGTTTGGCTGTTAGACAGCTGTAAATTTTGATTTTTTCGTTATCAGTATATGAATGCATTCTTTTCTATATTTCTACAAATGGAGTGATGTGGTGTGACTTAAACACCAGAACCTTCCTTTTTTCATTTCAATTTTGTGGCTACGAATCTTGATCCCGCTAAATATGGAACTTAGTCAACACAATTTTTGTCTATTCTGAGCAGAGTGTTGAACAATTTTGTCTGTCTGTCATGATTAACTGTTTTTATATTTTAATCCATAGCAATCCTTTAAGGATGAGAAAGAGTTCATTATTCTCTGATCCTTATTTTTTATTAGAAAAAAACTGTAGGGTCAGTGGTGGTTACTGGCTGCTTCATCTTAGGGTCCAGGTTGGGCAGGCCTCTAAGGTCAGTAAGTGGTCACAGAGGTCTTTACAAATAGGTCACCAATAGTGGACCCCTTGCCTGGCTAAATTGGGACTGTTTCTACTCACAGATTTTGCCAACTAATGGCTTTTATTCTTTAATTTGAATTTTCATGCTTTCATGATTTCTGTAACTTATACGTAATATATTCAATTAGATATTTTAATTAAGGTTCTTTTATACACATGTCAGTTATGATCTATCCTATATTCTGCAAACCTGTTTTCCGTTTATCTATGGTAAAAGTGGTCTAAAATTTGTCAAATGCACTAGCAATAGTGGATCAATTGCAAAATTAGACTATAATACTGAAATAAGTCAGATGTGTGTATTATTTTTTATAACATTTTATCTGATTGTTGCTGTAAACTTGGGACTTGATTTATGTGTTGAAATATCTGAATACTGTTCCCAAAATGAGTATTTTTGCGTCAAAAAAGAATAATTTCTAGCACAAGCTGGTGACTGTCAAGTTGGTCACTAAGTTGAAAAATGTTGCTGCTAAGTCTGTCAAGTTAGTATTTTTGTGTTTAACTTGTCTTGTTTTAAACTCCCAAATCGGTTCAAAGCAGTTCAGATCTGGTTTTGAACTGCTAAACTGGGTGCGTGTTGTTCTTTCTAATACAGTTTATACATTTACACATGATACTTTATATAGTGCCTACTTCATACACTCCGCTTCCAAACTCAATAACGAGTCACAATAGATTGTAATTATCATTTAGAGATTATGATATGCTAAACATTAGAAGGTCAAGCTGTATTTTAAAGCATGTTATAGTTATACTCATTTCTTCCCTTTGCCCAAAAGAACAGATTCCTTTCCCTGCACAACAAAACAGTAATGAAGACAAAAGCCACTAGAGTCCTAAGGTCCCTAGAAACAATAAATAGAAACAATTGCTAGTACAAACATAGATAAAATTAACTTAAATAAGATATTACATCATCCAATTCTGTCTCTTTGTGTAGATCTTATCCTAAACCACTAGGCCATTCTTTCTGTAATTCTTGTGTTTAATATATTCAGTTTAGCATGTCAGTGATTCTAACTGGAACTTTTCTTGTATCTCATTTTTGCAGAACACTAGAAGGTCAGTCTCTAACAACTAAGAAGTTTGGAAGGTTTGTAAATAAGCATTTTTTTTTTTGCACATTTTAAAGTTTTATGTATTTTATTATGATATGTATATAGCGCATTCTTCCAATGATATTACAATAATTAATTTAATTTATACTTATAAGATAATTTTAACTTTTTAAATAAAAATAAAAAACTGTTTAATAAATATTATAAAAGATTATAAAAGTTTTTTAGTTTATAATAATTGCACATTATTTATTGACAAGAGTAATTAAACGGAGATACATAATATGTTTTCTCTTGTTAGTTGATAATAATATTTATGATGATTTGAAATATGTTATAGTGGTTTTAATTCTTTCCTTCCGAATCACATGCAAAATTAGTTTTAATTCTTTCTCTTGTTAGTTGATAATAATATTTATGATGATTTGAAATATGTTATAGTGGTTTTAATTCTTTCCTTCCGAATCACATGCAAAATTAACAGTTACTTACGGATTTTCATGATTATTTACGGAAATTTCCGTAGGTAATCCTGATTTTTCTTGTAGTGATGCAGGAAATGCTCGGTGACTTGTCCTAATTGCATCATTAATTGAAATTCAAGGCTCGGAAAGCATTAATTTAGATGTGCAGTAGTTTTCTTTTTTCGAGTGTTAAACACTATGTCTATTAGAAGATCCCCATTCCCTCGTCTCCTCCTCAACAATGTGTCTTGCATGAGAAATGCCCAGCAAGTTCTGCGTCATGTGAATGTCTCTATCCATGATGGTGGGGCACTTGTGCTAACAGGTGCAAATGGCTCGGGAAAGACAACTTTCTTGCGCATGTTAGCTGGGTTTTCCCGTCCTTCCGCGGGTGAAATCCTTTGGAATGGTCATAACATTCAAGAATCTGCAATATTCCATCAGTATAAGCTTCAGCTTAATTGGCTCTCTCTCAAGGATGCCATTAATGATAAATTTACGGTTCTTAACAATGTACAATGGTTTGAACTTCTTGAAAGCAAGGAAGGGAAGGCTTTGCCTGCACTTGAGTTGATGGGACTAGGAAGATTAGCCAATGAAAAACCACGGATGCTATCTATGGGCCAGCGGAAGAGATTGCAACTTGCCAGATTGCTTGCAATTGATCGCCCCATATGGTTGCTAGATGAGCCTTCAGTTGCACTAGATGATGATGGTGTGAAGTTACTTGAGTATATCATTGCAGAACATAGGAAACACGGAGGAATTGTGATTGTGGCGACCCATCTACCCATTCAGATAGAAGATCCCATGATCTTGAGGCTTCCACCAAGGTTTCCAAGAAGGATGACCCTAGTGGATATGCTTGACCGGGCAGATATCAGTTGATTCCTATTTTTGTTCACATTTTTGTCAAGTTCTGCTATCAGTTCTCGCAATGTTTTGTATCTTCCATAAAAAACACTTTTAAGAAGCCCTGAAAATCATATTTTGTGGGGGCAATCAGGCTTCAGCTGAAAATGCGATAAAATTATTATTCTGCATCTCTTCTGCATTTTTTATGTATAAGTCGTTGGAGAGAGAAATAGGAAAAAAATTCTGACTGATTTTTTTATTATAAAAACCATAGTAGTCAATAGCGGCCGGAGCGGCCGCTATCGCGGCGCTCCGGAGCGGAGCGGCCTCACCCCGCAATCTCGCTGCTGTCGCGTGGCGGATTTGTGTAGCGGCCGGAGCGGCCGCGTCGGAGGCGG